GGGGGAGGGGTTGCTGGCTGGTTTTTTTTTTTTGGGTTTTCCGTCGTGGTCAGATCACACCAGTTGCGGGGTTGCGCTCGCAGCTATCCCCAGTGAAGGCCTTTAATGACGTGTAGGGAGTGAGAGAGACGGATGACTGATTTCAGCTAAACGGGAGGGGAAGAGGAGGGGTTGGGTTGTTACTTGGTTTTTTTTTTGGGAGCCGGGGTTTGTTATGTGCCAGTGAACGTGAACGATTTCATCATCCTTGTTGTGTAGTGACAGTACACGTGGCTTTACAGTGCAACTTCTGTATTCATTCACCATCTTTTTTTCTGGAACACGAACGAAGCAGTGGCTGTTGTCAATTTACCGAAAGTGAAATCAGTGTTTGCGGACCTCCTTAAGAATTCGGAAAATACTGTTTCACCAGATCTTTTGAAATTGCTTCGTGAGTATGCTATGGCACGGCGTTTCTTCAAATGCGTTGTGCACGATTCTTCAAGTTATTCGGTTTTTCCAGTTAGCAGCATATTCGGTCACTTCTATTTGGTAAAAATTCGCGGACAACAATATGTTGTTGATTTAATGTGGAAAAGTAACCACCAGTAGAAAGAAGAATAAAATGCATCCGATCTGTTGCTTGATCAAATTGCGAGATTTTCAGTGAAGCCTGCCAGTGGTTCCTTCATTTCGTGCGAAATGTTTTCGTACCGTCGTCGATCATATTTTTTGCATCTAATCGAAATGGTTCATCTAATGCGAATAATTGTTCAGATCATGGATCAGTAAATCGATTTAATCGGAGATGATCCAGTAAATCGGTTTAATCAGAGATTATAGGGAGTGTTAGGATGAGGAAGAGTTCTGATGAACTGCCCCCATCCTGCCGGGGTCAGTCAATGGGTGCGAGGATGTAGACGAGAAGAATCGGGTTGAAGGATGGAAGATGTAGGAAGAAGAGTACTCCCGACTGTAGACGAGACCAGGACCTAGAGTGAAGAAAACGAGGATCTATATGCAGCCTAAAGGATATGGCCAGAAGGTGAAGGAATGTTCCTCTTTTACGGTGATGATGGTCCAAAAGGCGCCAGGCAGGCGAGTTAGAAAAAGTTGTTGGCTGAGAAAAGGGGAAGGAAAGAATTTTTAGATGGGTAAATTAGATTAGGAGAAGATGGGGACTGGATAGCGAACCATGAACAAGAGTAAACGGAAATACCCTATACGATGCATT